AATTGCATCAAAAAAGAAAATACCTTAGCATAAATTTAACCAAGGAGATGAAAAACCTGTACTCAAAAAATTATATTACACTGAAGAAAATGAAGAAGATACAAATAAATGGAAGTATATACCGTGTTCATGATACAAAGACTTAACATCATTACAATATCCATAGTACTCAAAACAATCTATAGATTCAACATAATTCCTATCAAGATACCAATTGCATATTCCACAGAATAGTTCAAGAATTTATGTGGAACTACAAAAGACCATGAACAGCCACAGCAATCCTGAAAAAGAACAAGGTTGGAGGAATGTTAGATACCTGATATCTAGACTATATTGCAAGGCCATAATAATCAAAAGAACATGGTACTTGCATAAAAACAGACACAAATCAATAGATCAGAATTGAGAGCTCATGCCCTGACTGGTATAGCTCAGTGGATTGAGTGCCAGCCTGTGAACCAAAAGATCACCAGTTCAATTCCTGGTCGGGCACATGCCTGGGTTGCGGACCACATCCTCAGTGGGGGCCACTGCACAAGAGGCAACCACATGTTGATGTTTCTCTCACTCTTTCTCCCTTCCCTCCCCTCTCTCTAAAAATAAATAAACAAAATCTTTAAAAAAGAGAATTGAGAGCCTATACATAAACCCATGCCCTTATGGTCAATTAATATTTGACGAAGAAGGCAAGAACATGCAATGGGATAAAGACAGTCTAGTCAATAAATGGGTTTGGGAAAATTGGACAGATACATGGAGAAGAAAATACAAACTACCTTCTTACACCATACATGAGAATAAGCTCAAAATGAATTAAAGATTAACATGTAAAACTCCATAAAAATCTTAGAAGAAAACAGCCAGTAAAATCTTGAACATTTCTTGTAGCAATTTTTTTTCTGATATATCTCCATAGCAAGGGAGACAAAAGAGAAAAAAATAAACAAATGGGACTACATAAAACTACAAAGTTTTTGTACAGCAAAGGAAACCATCAACAAAATGAAAAGGGAACCCAATGAATGAGAGAACATATTCACCAATGATACATCTGATAAGGGGTTAATATCCAAAATATATAAAGATTATATTGTACAACTCAAAACCAAAACAACAAACAATCCAATTTAAAAGTGAGCCAAGGACCTGAACAGACACTTCTCCAAAGAGGACATACAGATGGCCGATAGACATATGAAAAGATATTTCACATCAGTAATCATCAGAAAAATGCAAATTACAACCATGATGAGCTATCAGCTCACACTTGTCAGAATGGCTACCATCAATAAATCAACAAATAACAAGTGTTGGCAAGGATGTGTAGAAAAGGGAACCCTTGAGCACTATTGGTAGGAATGCAGACTGGTGCAGCCACTGTGGAAAACAGTATGGAGTTTCCTCAAAAAATTAAGTGGAACTGCCTATGACCCAGCAATTCCACTTCTGGGAATATATCTGAAGAAACCCTAAACACTAATTTGAACAAATATATGCACCCCTATGTTTCACAGCAGTGTTATTTACAATAGTCAAGATTTGGAAGTAGCCCAAGTGCCCATCAGTAGATGAGTGGATAAAAAAGTTGTGGTACATTTACACAATGGAATACTACTTGGCCATAAAAAAAGAAGGAAATCTTACCTTCGCAACAGCATGGATGGACCTAGAAAGTATTATGCTTAGTGAAATAAGCAAGTCATAAAAAGGCAAATACTGTATGATTTCACTTATATGTGGAATCTAATGAACAAAATAACACACAAAATAGATACAGAGAACAGATTGACCACTGTCAGAGGGGAGGGATGGGAGGGCTGAGTGAAAAAGGTGATGGGAATAAGAAAAAAAGACCTCATAGATACAGACATCAGTATGGTGATTACCAGAGAGAAAGGGGGTAAAGGGGAAGTACAAGAACGTAAAGGGGGGATAAACCGTGATGGAAGCAGATTTGACTTTGGGTGGTAAGCACACAATACAATTTATAGATTATGTATTATAAAGTTGTACAGCTGAAGCCAAAGTCACCTCAATAAATTTTTAAAAGTTAAAAAAAAAATTCACCACCCTCTGGATGCCTAATCAGATCTCTCTTTCCCTGCCAGCCACTACCAGCTCCTCAGGAAAGTATGAACTTCTCTGAGCTCAGCTAACTGGCAGAAGTAGTGCCGGACTATATGTAACAGAAGGAAAAAGCTATAGCTCATTCTTGTTTTTTGTTTTTTGTTGGGGGGGGGGAGTGCAGGGGAGTTTTTTTTTCCCCAGTCAGATCCTGTGAATGAGTTCTGACCAATGACCTGATAATCTTCTGCTCACTATGAGCAGTCTAGTAGTTTCTATCTTTTAAAAACTATTGGCACATGGTCAAGGTCAAGGAACAAAAGTTGTTAAAGTTGAAGGTGTGTACTCTAGTACTAAATGTTTTCAGAGAACCACCATGCCTTCCACTGGTTGGAGTGAACAAGAAGCAGGAGAGAAAGCAAGAAGAGCCAGAAGAGAGTAAATAGAAAGTTAATCTCAGAATTTGAGAAAGGGCCTATTTCTGATACTTTCAAAAGATTTTTTAAAAATGCCAAAACTGGGCTACTAAATTACAGTATATTTTACATTTCAAAGTTACAGATTCAGAGTTAGATTTTTAAAAACCATAAGTCACATTGCAAAGAAAACATTGTTCTCATTTGTCATGTATATCTCATTTGGAAGTAACATTAGAGTCTACTTTGAATTTTTTGTGAATATGAAGCCTAAGTCAAATAGGACTACTATCCACAGCCCACCTTCAGGTGCCCCACCAAAAAGCCTCAACAGAATGAGAGTAAAAGTTTAGAAAAATTAGACTAAAGAGAATACAAAGAGGAGTCAGGAAGCCTGTAAGGATATCACTACCTTAGGACTCCCATAACCAGGTGTCATGACAAAAGCAGAAACAAAGTAGAAAGAGAGAAAAGTACCATTGAGACCTGGACTACAGCTTACAGTGGTCTCAAGTATACCGGGTGTCATGAATGGTCACTTTCTACTAATTTAGTAAAAGGAATCACTGACTTATTTAGTAAGGGGAATCTGAATTTACCCACTAGGTGCCACTGAGCATAAGGCACTGTGCTACGGTTGAGGAATGGGAGTCAGGATACAAAAGAATAGAACTGTCTCTGTTGGCGAGGAAATTGAAATGTGTTCTCTGCACTCTCTAAGAAGCAAATGAGAAGGCAAATAGGTCTCAAAAGATAAAGGGATAGCTTCCTAGAGAGACCTTCAATAAGTTGCCAAACCCTTCTAGAATAATTTCAATAGCAAGAAACCTGGTAATTCAAGATAAATGCTTGGAAAATCAGTATAGGAGGTCTGTCTGGAAAAAGTCCACCCATGTTAATATAAGAATGATTTCCATGACATCAATATAACCTGGCAGCCGAGGAGAGGACTGGAATGTGCCTGCACGAAAAAAGACCACTGTACTAGTCAGTGGGGGTGGTAGACACCATTGAGGGAGCATGTGTACTGTGTGGCTGTCACATTCAAAATGACTGAGCAAGTAGAGCAACAAATCTGCATTAAATTTTGTGTTAAACTTGAACATTCCTCAGTGGAAACTATTTGAATGATTCAGAAGTCTGCAACTATGGGTAACTGGTGATTGGCAGCTTCATCAGGACAACGTACCTGCTCATATATCATGTCTCCTGCAGTTTTTTGGTGAAACATTAAATCATCTATGTGACTAAGCCCTCCTACAGCCCAGATTTGGTGCCCTACAACTTTTGCCTTGTCCCCAAACTAAAATCACCTTTGAAAGAGAAGAGATTTCAGACCATCAATAAGATTCAGGAAAACATGATGGGGCAGCTAATGGTGAGTGGGAGAACTGTGTGAGGCCCTAAGGTGCCTACTTTGAAGGGAAATGAGGCATCACTGTCCTATGAATAACGTTTCTTGTATCTCCTTCAACAAAGGTCTTTATTTTTCACAGTACATAGCTGGATACTTTCTGGACAGACCCCCCCCCATGTACGCAAGTATTTGGAAGTTGGCATTGAGGTTCCATTATGATAAATTCCTTTCTTCCTTACTTACTGATTATATGGTGTTAACTACTTTACAACCCACATACACCATTAAGCCATCATTCCAGCTCTCCCTATACTTCCAAGATATTGGGGACGCCAGTAAGACCACTACCTCAGGCTTCCAGTAGTAACTAGATGCCAGGAGGTAAGTATCACCTAAGCTGAATCTTGAAGGGTGAGCAGGATTAGCCTTCTATAGAAAGACACCAAGAATGTCTCAAGTAGAAGACATGAATGGCAGGGTAGGAGAGGTGAGTAGTTGGGTCAGGTGTAGCCTGTTGGCCAAGCTTTTTACTATTAGGCATAACCTTTCTCCTGTACCTTCAACCCTGACTCCAGTAATAACTCTGACAATAGAGTTATTTGATTAAGAATGTTTGGTGAATGACGCTTCTGAGATACCTACATCATGGTCGCCCAAATTCTGTTGTTCTGCACTAATTCTCCATCATTTTAGTAAAAGGACTCTAACAGCAGCTTCGAAACGCGGCTGCATCTCCACCAACATTTTGTTAATCCATTAAAATGTTGGGAACTCGGAAAAGAAACGGGTGTAAGACGATTGTTCTGCAAGGTGGGAGCCCAATGAAGATAGAGCTCTGTGTGCGGAAGCCGCCCAAGCTGCGCAGACGCGGGGATGGGTGCGCGCCTGCGCGGAGAAGAGGGCGCGCAGGAGGTCGAATTTCAAGCTAGGGGGCGCGGCACACACAGCATGGCGTCCAACAAGTATTTGGTTCGCCAGCGGATCAGCCGGCTGCGCCAGGTGCGGCATTGGGAGGTTCTTCCCCTTCTCAGCCGCTGTCCATCCCCCGCGTACCGCCACCGCCCCTTTCAGTCTCCGCCCCAGTGCCTAGGCCAGTGGCTCAACCGCCTCTGTCCCGCCCCGCCCCGCGGCCTCCTGGGCCCGCCTCCCGGAGCCCGCCCCCGCCTGCCCTTCCTTGCCGCCGACCCGCTCCGTCTCGTTGGTCCCCTCCTCCTCCGCCCTGCAGTCCTGATTGTCTCTCCCTCCTTCCTTCAGAGGATGTCCTCCTTCCAGCTCAACCTCAACCCGCTCAAGGAGCCGCTCGGCTTCATCAAGGTCCTCGAGTGGGTGAGTGTAGCCGCATCCGCTCCACGCCGGCCGGCGCCCTCGGGGAGGAGGCGGGGAGCCCCGGGAGCGGGGGCGCGGCCCTGCTCGAGCTGGCCCAGAAGTCTCCGCCATCCCCGGGACCGGACGGGACTGGATGGGCGGGGAGGACGCGAGAGGCCGCGGCCTGGGCCCTTGCGGGGCGGGGACGCCGCAGTAGGCGTTGAATCAGTAGCCCCTAGGCGGCCTGTGTCCCGTGCGGAGCCGCCCTCCCACACTGAAGCTCACCTCTGGGTGCCCCCGAGGAAGTGGGAGTTCAAATTTCTCTTTGGCTTCCCTGTTTGCCGCAAGGGAAGAGAAAACTTCCTGTTGCAGTCTAACCGAAACCCGGCGGGCGGGAGTCGTGCCCCGGGCGGCTCTGCCTCTGCGCCTCCTGAGGAAAGGGCCGGCCCGTGCCTTTCTGTCCGGTGCTGACTTGAGGAGAGGCTGCTCCCTCGAAAGCTTTTGTAGTTGTGCCTTGTCGAAGTGATTTGACGAGCACCCTCTGATTAATTTGTTTTAAAGATTGGCTCCAAGTTAAAAATGGATAAAAATAATCAGTGTGTCAAGGAAGCTGGTGGAGATGGTAGCGGGAGACGCGAGGAGCGGGGGGTGGAAAGGTCTTTTAACAAAACGCGTCTTGTCAGCCTGATTCACTTCAACACATGCTAGGAATCGCCATCACTGTTTGTTTTAAGTATTTCCAAGCAACAGCCTGTAGTCAGCTTTTAGTCCTTTCCTGAGAACACTCAATCATTAACATCAAAGGAGACTTATTAATTCGGCCTTGACAATGATCAAGTCACTTGGGAGAGTTAGGAAATAGACCAGGCACTGCGGATATTCTTCAGACTGCATGGCCTCATACATATTTTAGTGCTGATTTTCAGGCGTTCGTTAGTAGGCAGCTGGCATGTATCCAGCGTGTAGTGAGCAAAATTTACATTTAATTCTTTAACCCTGTATTTTAGTGATAGAGTGGTGAAGAGTAAGAACTTTCGATTTCCTGTTTTAAATAACCTACCCAGGATGTTTCTTTAAAATAACACAGAAACTCAGATTCTCTATTTAATGGGTACTCAATCTGATTTCCTACCTACCTTTTCCCCAAGGTTTCACGTGGTGTTTTCTGAAAACTGAAATCGTGCTAATTTCACACAAATATCTATTTTAAAGAAACATAATTGTATACACTTAGGGTTCTGTAAACCTAGGTCCAGATTTAAATATAAATTATTAATTGAATATATAAAAATTTTAAATTGCAGGAGAAAAATCACATTTAACTAAGCTAGTCAGTTGTATTGAGGATTATAGTTAAATTTATAATTTAAATTTTCATTTGCACAAAGAGGCAGTCGTTTATATTGTGCTTATATTATTTGTCTTTATTAAGATGTAGACTTGACTTTTGTCTTAGTATTTTCAAAAGAGCAGTAAATTTGTTAGTGATTATAGTCTAATGTGTTTTGAATAATATCCTTTTTAAAGCTTTTTAAGGAAATGCTAGTGTTATTTTGAACTGCTTATCACACAGGAGAACCTTTTATGAGAAGATTATTCATTGTTAATGGTGTAGTGAGTGTTTATTCAACAAATATTTGAGTATGTGTTATATACAGGTGCTGTGCTAAGCACTAGCACACAAACATGAATAAAACATTGTCTCCTCATGAACTGTTAAGATGTGCAAACAAACATGAAAATGCCATATGATAAGTACTATAATAAATGTACAGTCAAGATGTAGTAAGTAAAAGGGAGGAGAAATCAACTGCCTAGAGGAACCAGGGAGAATTTCACAGATGAAATAGCACTTGAAGGATGAGTACTTGTTCACTGGGGAGTGACTTTCCAGACAAAGGGAATCTTATTTTCAGTGGTGTGAAAAGTTGAAGCAGTATAGCTCTGTTTGAGAACTTAAATATTTGGGGTTGCCTGCAATATTGACTGGGAGGGAGGGTATGGTTTGAAATGATTCTGAAAGGTTTCAAAGGGCTTGCAGGAGAGTTTGTGGAGTTTTTTTAATCTGCCAATGGTTCTTAACCCTCCAGGCCTTTTCCTTAGGAAAATGTGTTTGTGCAGGGTACATAATTTTTGGTAGTTTATTGGATAGCTTCCATTCAAACCCAGAATTCCTACCATAGGATGGAGACTCACTCATTTAAGAATTTTAAACAAGTTAACGATACGATTACATTTGCCTTTTAGAAATTCTCATTTTGCCAGCAGTGTAGGGAATTGAAAAGGTCATACTTGAAAGGGAAACCTGTTGCTTGAGAAATTATGAGGCCTAAAATTAATTGTAGTGGGAATTGAGAAAAGGAATGTAAAATTAGAACATATCTGGAGGGTAAAGAAAGGGCAGGAATCTAAGATGACTGCCGTATTTCTCACTTGGCTTAGTAGTGGCAGCAGTATCCAAGATAGATCACTAAGAAAAAGAAGCAAATTTTTGGTGGAAGATAAATAAGGTTTTGGATGTATTAAGTTTGTCATCTCTTTAGATCATAGAAGTGGAGGTACTATATAGACAGATATATTGACCTAGGTTTTAAAAGATTAATATGAGCTGGACATTCAACAAATATCTGCCAGCAAAGGAGGAAAGAAATGGTTTGGAAGATGGGGAGAAAACATCGTGGCATTAATATTAAAATTTTAAGAAAAGAGTGCTCAACATTATCAGGTATAGTAGAGAAGTTAACTACAATAAGGGCTAAAACATACCCTTGGTATTGTTACTCAAGAGGCTATTGATGGTTTTAGGAAGAGCCGTTTCAATAAAATCAGAAACCAAAATGGTAGTAGGCTGAACAGATGTATGTTAAGAAAGTGAAGACAGAATAAACCACTATTTGACTGAAGATGGGAGAAATTTGGTGGTAACCCATCTTAAAGATGGGAAAGACTGAATGGGTTTGTCCACTATAGAGAAGAGACTTGGGAATAGAATTATTGGAGGTTAAAAACAGGCAGAGAGGGGAATGAATGATAAAACAAGGTTCTAGAGGGAAAAGGCCCATTGTAGAGTTTGTTTTTAAAGATTTTATTTATTTTTAGAAAGAGGGGAAGGGAGGGGAAAAGAGGGAGAGAAACATCAATGTGTAGTTTCTTCTTGTGTGCCCCCAACTGGGGACCTGGCCCTCAACCCTTTGCTCCCCAGTCCAGTGCTCAATCAACTGAGCCATGCCAGCCAGGGCTGTAGAGATTTTAAATGTGTTTTGCGTGAACTATTCAAGTTTCAGCCCTGGCCAATGTGGTTCAGTTGGTTGTTGTATTGTCTGTGAAGTAGAAGGTTTTGGGTTCAATTCCTAGTCAGAACACATGCCTAGGTTGCAAGTTCAGCCCAGTCCAGGCACATGTGAGAGGCAACCAATGGCTGCTTTGCTCTGGCATCGATGTTTCTCTCTCTCTCTCTCCCCCTCTCTCCCTCTCTCCCTCTCTCTCTCCCCCTCTCTCCCTCTCTCCCTCTCTCTCTCCCCCTCTCTCCCCCTCCCTCCCTCCCTCCCTCTCCCCTTTTCTCTCTCTAAAATCAATAAGCATGCCCTTGGATTAGGATTTTTTTTTCAAAGTTTCATAAGTCATTGATTGGGTTATGTTGGGTGCAGGGTTACCTCTAAAAATAATCAGTAAATAAGTTTGGAAACAAATCTAAAATCTAGATAAAGGTTGCTTACCATATAACTAAAAGAATAATTCTTCAAATCAACTTATTGCTAGCAAGGTTCTAGATGATGTTAGACTAATATGTAACCTGATAGTATGTACCTTTCAGGGATTACAAATCTGAATGTCTCATAGACATGAAGGCAAGATGCTCAGTAAATACTTATTGGCAGAATAAAAATATAGTTGGTGAAGCAGATGAATCTTCACTTTGTTTCTAAACTGTAGCTACTATATTATTTATGTATAAAGATATATATAATTTAAGTTTTTCTTATTTATATATTTTTTTATGTACCCCTGGCTCCTAGCTACAGTGCTTGGCAGTGGCATTGCCTTAGTTCTCTTTGTGTAATTCAGTAAAAGTTGAATTTTTGTTACATTTATATGGGACTATCAATACAGGACTGTTGCAGTGATTGAATGGATATATAAATATGTGAATAATGATAATGCACTTGAACAGTTCTTGGTTTTTTCCAAAACTGAGACACTGTGTTTCTAAAAGACTAGACCCAGAGGGTGGATAGAATTGAGCCCTATATGAGTGACATACATATTTCCTGATCCTTCAAGATCGCTGTTCTCTATTAGATACTTTAAACTTTAGAAATGGCATATTGTATGCTTTCCATTTGTCTTCCAACATGTTTTCCTGCCTTGAGCAGCCTGTCTTAATGACAATATAAAATATAGGTAAGAATAGATGCCCCACCCTGTCTGGGTGGCTCAGTAGGTTGAGGCCAGGTCCTGTACACCAAAAGGTTGCAGGTTCTATCACAGATCTGGCATGTATGGGAGGCAACCATCACATCGATATCTCAGTCTTTGTCTCTATCCCTCTCCCTCCCTTCTGCTCCCTCCTTTCCTCTATCTCTAAAATAATAAACATATCCTCAGGTGAGGATTAAAAAAAAAATAATAGAGGCCACATGTGTAGGAGTTAAACAAGGAAGTAATTGTCAAAAATTAATTTTATCAAAGTAGCTTTTAAAGTTTTAATATTTCTGTCATGAATTTTAATTTGGTTATACTTAGTTATCCCTACTATTTAGATCAAAGTTTTTCATTAAAGTGATATCTTCTTTTAATATTGAACACTGGCCTTTTTTGATGCTATTCTTGCATAGGGTAGACACTGAACAGATGTTTTAGCCCTTAAGGAATCCAAGTAATATGCTTTTGTAATTCCATACACACAAAATTAGAGAAGGGATACTACTGTTTGAGGAGTGCATACGGAATCACAGACTAAAGAACTTGAATGTTGGAATTACTAACCATCTTTGAATATTTTTGTCGGTGTTGGTCAACTT